CTGGCCAGGGGCTGGGTGCAGCGTGCGTGCTGCTGGGTCCCCGCAACAGGCCCGGGCTCGGGCCCGGGCCCCAGAGCCGCAGCCACCGGGCGCTATGGTTGCTTCCTCTCCCCGCGGCAGTGGGAGCTGCAGCAACGGCTGGTCCCAAGTCCCGCTGCCCGGGGGGGAGAACGGCCGCCTAGCCTCACGGGCCGCCCCCCTACTGTCCCTCCAGGTACCGCCCGACTGAGTCCTGCCTGCACTTGGGGCCAGGCCGGACTCTCACTCGCCCCGGCCCCGCGCTCCCCCTGTGTCTCTGGTGCCTCCCTCCAGCACTTGTGGAGGGAGGAGGAATGGCGAGCCTGGGGAAGAGACGGGGATTTGGGGAGGGAGCCAATGGGGCAGTGAGGGGGCAGGCATGGGGGCGGGGATTTGGGGAGGGAGCCAATGGGGGAAGGAGGGGGTGGAGTTGGGGCCCGGGGGGGCACGAGCACTTCCGGGCTCTGGAGCATTTGCTTGTTTGTCCAGTGTCCCAACCTAACATTGGTCGGGACGTGGGACAAACAAGCAAAAATTGGGACGTCCGGTCACCCTACCATGGACATTTCTCCAAGCAAACCACTTGACATTGTTTGCCTCAAAAGTCCATTCTTGTCTGGCATGTTGTTCAGTATAGTCCTGTGATCAGCCAGGCCTTACATCCCATCTTCCCCCCAGAGAGGTAACTTGCAATCCTGATGCACAACACTACCTACACTTTGCATTTAGTACAATGGACCCCAATTCAATAAGGGTTTTTCAAGAATATTGCAGGAAATTGCCATTTCTGTACAGAGTGTATTGGAGTGTTGGAACAGATTACCAGGGGACATGGTGAATTCTCCATCATCTGAATCTTTAAATGAATGTTGGATTTTTTTCCCCCCTCAAAAAGGTCTGTTGTAACTCAACCATGAAGTACTGGGGGTGATGCAGGAATCACTGAGTGAAATTCTCTGGCCTGTATTGTACAGGAGGTCAGACTGCAGGAGCAGAATGATCCCGTCTGGCTTTTAAACCTAGCAACCTAAAAATAACAAGGACACTTTAATAAAACATTGTATAAAGAGTTTTTGGAAAGCCCAATTTAGTAACCCCCAGAGTTACTTTAAAAGAGGAGGGGTTTTCCTCTCCAGCATTGCAGGAAGACAGCTAATATAAATCCTCCAAATCCCTATCCTGCAGCTGGATTCCCTCTTTGAAGTTGGACCAGAACAGCTTGCTGTATTTGGTTTCAAATCACTTCTGATCGCATCTCCCCTGAATCCGAGTCCCTGGTTAGGTTACAGTGGGGATAGGGCAACCCACCACACCTCTGTTTTCCTTCCACATGGTCCACTTATTATTTGACCTGTTCTGGGAGCCAGCCAGGTTATTTCACTGTTCATGTAACTGATGGCTCTTTGCGGTTGACTCCTCACCCCTGTGCGGGAAGGAAAGGTCCCTGTTTTCCATATGGGGAACTGAGGCACAGAGTGTTAGAGCCAGATTTGTGAGATGTTTGGGCACCTATACACATGGGTGCCTGGTGGGATTTAAAAAAAAATGTTTAAATCCCACTAGGTTCCTAAATACCTTTACAAATCTGGCCCTAAATGACATGACCAAGGCCGCACAGGGCATCTGTGGCAGAGCAGGGAACTGATCCTACATCTGCCAAGTCAGCTTTCT